TGGATAAATGAAACTGTCCAGTAACCCTTGCTTTAGAAAGAGCATTGGACAGAGGATTGCTGAAGGCTGCAGTCAGCTTACCTAGGGCTGCTGTCCTGCCCCCTGGTGGCCTGCGCTTCCTAATATCCTGAGCTCTTAGGCAGCACCCCTCAACAACTTCTAAAAGCTGAGTCTAGTTCCTACAAATGATGCCTCCCACCTGAGAGGGTCCCTGAGCCTCTGAAGACATTCAGGGCTCTCATTGTAGAAAAGCAGCCACCCCAAGTTAGAGCCGTGTGGAAATGAGGTAAGGGAGGAGGAAGGCACAAAGCCGAGGGTCTCTGCTGCAGACCACGTTCCTATTCTTGGCTGCTGATGACTGTCTATATCCTCTCACTTTGCAGACCCTTCCCTTTCAGGAGAGCGTGCTGGGCTGTGATAGTCTAAGAGCCTTCTCTTTCCAAACCTTTCTGTCACCACTATAGCCTTTGGTTTTCCCCTTGAGGGTCTAGTCACTGTGGCACCTGGGCTGCAAGGAGGGGTGTGTCCTATATTCATCACTGGACAGTGGGACACTTGCCTCTGCACTACTGCCAGGACCCCAACCTTCTATGCTTTGTACTTCCTCTGAGACACTGTACTGCAGCCCTCCTCACCCCACTGCTCCCATAAAACATGGGCAGGAGATGAATTCAGTTGTCCCCCTGACCAGTGCAGTAGGAAAGGGAGCCTCGTTAGCAGAAAATCAGCAGAGGCTCTAACAAGGAAGGAAGGAAGGAAGGAAGGAAGGAAGAAAGGAAGGTTGGTTTTGGTGTCTGTCCCAGCCCTTCCCTAAGAGAGGAGAGAGTCCATGATTTGGCACCACTCAGAACACTTGTCCACCCAAGAAGTCCTCCAGTGGGAGCCTACTGGGTATAGGTCAGACCCTCAATTCAGGTTGGACAAGTCCTGCCCTGCTGCACAGTAACCACCTAACCTAAGGAAGTCCCTTGAGCTCCCAGTCTTCCCTGACTTGAAATGGCCCTGTACTGTCACTGATAGGAGGGTGAGTGAGGTCAGAGACTGTCCCTCTCCTGACCCATGGAGTCTATGCCCCAGGCCATTCTCCTCCTGGGAAGGGCAGCACCAGGGTTAGAGCAGTGAGCCTGTAGCGCAGAGGCCTGCCCACCCATGTGCACTGCCCCTGCCGCAGCTACGCTTGCTTTCTTTGTGGCTAAAACAGCTCCAGCCTGGAAGGGAGGCTCGGGGCACTCCGCACCTCAGTATGACAGAGGAACTTAGGGAGACTGCTTTGACTGGCAGCCCCTCTCCAGAGTGCTGACTGGCAGCTGTTCCAAGGTCTTGTGAAAGAGTCCTTCTGCTCCCCACCCCCCACCCCTGCTCAGTTCTCCTCCATCTGGGTGCACAAAGACTTTCACAGCCTTGAGCTGAGGCAGAGGGAACTTTAGTCAACCCAGCCTGCTGTCTTGGCTCTCCAGATGGGGACCCACCAGGAGCCAGGCTGGGCCTCTGGTTTCCTGCAGTGAGAGGAAGCAAGGCTTCTGGAGTTTCCACCTTCCATCCATGGTACCTGCCTAGTCCATGTCTGTCTGGTAGTGTTGCTTCGTCCTCCCCTCCCTGCCTGCTCTCCCTAGGTTCCAAGCACTTTGATGTTTTCATAAGCTTTGTTTCAGCCCAGCACTCAACCTGCAGGCAGCATCCTCCTTGGCCTTGGTCTCTCAGGAGCATTAGTGCTCTTCCCTGGCCTCCCTCACTGAGCAGCCACTTTCATCTTCCGGGGAACATCATTAGCTTACAACACAATGGGCCCAAACCTAGGTCCTCACAAAATTACTTAGTAGCAATCTTTTGTTGCACTGGCATGTTTTTTCTACATCTTCAGTGCTGAACAAAATACAACTTTGTTATTGAAAGTGTAAAACTATTTTATATAAACATTCACATACACACACTCTCTCTCTCTCTCTCTCTCTCTCTCTCTCTCTCTCTCTCTCTCTC